GGATGTTTCTACAAACTCGCTGCTTCTCCGTGGAAACCATATTTACCAAAGCTCTTGCATTTCCATGCTCTAATCTACCTGTACCAGCAAGGAATCGAGATTAGACTCTGATCACTTTATCTCAAAGACAGGAAAGTGTGTTTATCGAAATCTTGAAACCCCAAAGGAAAAGCCAAAACCCAAACTCACTGTCACGGGGTCGATTCTGACACATAGAGACTGTCCCTATGGGACGAGTAGAACTGCCCCTGTGGGTTTCGGAGACAGTCCAGCATGGAGAAAGTCTCACCTTTCTTCCTCAAAGCTGCTGGCGGTTTGCAAGCTGCTCTCCTGGAGACGAACAGCCCAAGGCATAACCCACTATGCCATTCTACACGCCAGCCCAGCTCACTGGCATCAAGTCCATTGCGACTGTGCCCACCGCCAACTCTAAAGCTCACCACACCTAGTCCCTTATCAGAGTACCACCTCTTAGGAGCCTCTCCTCTTAGGAACAAAGGAAGAAAAAGCCCAAGAAACCAACACACCAGTGGCCTTAAATGAATTTCAACTCCTGGATTGCACAGTAGAGATGTGCTCCTTCAGGCATAATAGTTGCTATCTTGGAAGCAGATCGCCAGATCTTTCTTCCAAGGCACCTCTGGGTGGGCCCAGACCTCTGATCTTTCCATTAGCAGCTGAGTGCTGTTTGAGCCGCCCAGAGCTCTAACATAAGGTGACCAGATTTTAACATTGGTAAAGCGGGACACCATGGCTAAAACTCATATCCTGGCGAAATAGCCACATGGCAGCCGCAAACCGTATACCCTAGCTTGTCGTGCATTCTTTCCAAAAATTGGGACTCTTTTTGTCACAGAACATGGGTAAACTTGTTAAAAACCCGGGACTGTCCTACCACAAGTGGACGTCTGGTCACCTTACAACAGCGATGCTCAAAGGAAAACCCAATGGCCAAGCCATGGTAGCTAGGTACCAGTAGCAGTTTGGTTTTCTCCTACCAATTTGGCAAAGCCAAGTGTAAAAGATAAAACCTCTGTAGTTCATGGGGTTAAAAAAGACACAATGCTTCTTCCTGCTATGTCAACTTACTCTCACAGTTGATAATAAACGGAGCATCTAAGCTGCTGCCAGTCAGCTCACGTGTCTCATCTGCAGCCACCACCAAGGAGCAGTCAGTCCTCGGAGTCTCCATCCCTGGGATGGCTTGATCCTGCGAGCTGCAGTAAAGACTCCTGGAGACCTTGCCTGGCTGATGGTTTTGACAAAGACTAAGTCTATGTCAGTAGCCATGGTGGTTTAATGGCTTAGGAATTGGGCTGGTATCCTCAAGGTCAATGGTTCAATCTCAATAGCTTCTCTGTAGGAGAAGGCTGAGACTTTCTGCTCCTGGAAAGATTTCCAGCCTCAGTAACATGCAGGGGCAGTTCTACAATGTCCTGTAAGGTCGCTCCCATCAGAATCAACTTGGTGGCCAGGAGTGCGCGAGAAGCCTGTGTTCAGGAACGTACTAGGAGTCATTCCTTCATGATTTATCGTCCAGTGCCACTGGTCCATAGAGGGACTTCCATGGACTGGGCAAATGAATTCCTTTGTCGTCAGGATAAACATTATTTTTTTTTCATAACAGCACGAAAAAAACAAAAGGCTTATGTATTATTATTTGGGGGGGGGCATTGAAGGTTCCGTGGTGGAATTCTCATCTCCCTTGTGCGGTAGCCACGCCCCTTTGTCATCTGAGGCCTGCCAGTTCCTACAGCGCGGAACAGCTTTCAGCAGAACTTCCGGATGAAACGGACTCTCCACCATGAGCTGGCGACCCACCCTGAAAAAGAGTCCACGCCAGCCCAGGGAGTCACCATAGCGCGGTGCTCTGTACTGGAGCATGGCCGCGCTGTGGGGCCGGCATATGCCCAGGGCCTACTCCATAGCAGCGCACATGGACAGCGGCGCTACCCAGTGAAGAATAGAGGCTTTGTCACTGAGTCAGTGCAGGTTCAAATCCCCGCTCTGCCGTTCTCAGATTTATGTGTACAACACTTAATCTCCCTGAGCAGCTGTTTCAACTTCCTTCAAAATGGGGTTTGTAACACAGGCCTAAGAGAACAGTTAAAAAGACAAAAGGGGCTCATGTCTGCAAAGCTCAGGGCTAACCAAAACATAGTTGATAAAGACAAAGTGTTATTTGCATACATATAATCATTTCGAATAGCTGGTAAATTCACCAAAATTCCTGGAGAGCTATTATTTAGGGAAGAGAATCAATTGCTGAGAGCTATGGACATATTAAATAGGCTTTTATTTGTACGTAGATAACTTTTCTGTCACATGTATTATCTCAGAATCAGAATAAGTTTGCCAATACAGCGACTCTTCATTCCCTTGTTGCAGCATAGATTTAACATGTCCAGAATGCAACTTTTATCTCCTGCCTCCAGATCTGCGCCTCCCTCAGTAACTGGCAGTGCTCTCCACCTGGCCTTCTCAGTTAGAAAACTGGCTGCCATACTGACAACTGCTTAGGAATCTTTAAGTTGTTTCCAGCTCCCACAGACCATGGGTGGGTTACAGTAGAGCTGTACAGGTTTTCAATGGCTGCATGTGGGTAGTAGATCGAACCTCCCACCTTTGGGGTAGCAGCTTGAGCATGGTAACGGTTTATACCACGTGCGGACTCGCTCTCCAAATCCTATTCCTCATTCATCCATGCTGAGTCTACCTTCAAATTATGCCTCCTAGCCATGCCCGGTCAGTGCCACCACCCTGTTTAAGGTTACATCATCTTTCCTCTCAGCTAGTAGGCAATCCCTCCGAACCAGCCGTTGACTCCTGCCATTCCTTCCACCCTACCCACCCATCTATTCACTACATGGCAGTACACATCACTAAACACAGAACAGAACCACACCGTATCATCACTCTCTGGCTTAAATACTCCTACGCATTTTCCTTGTTCTTGGGGTAAAACCCAAGCCGTGCCCTTGTCTGCCCTTGGCTACCCTTCTAGCATGCTTTCTCTATCTGGAAACTTAGTGTTCTCTGCCTCACAGGCCACGGGAAACCTTCGGTAAGCTGATTAACAGCGTCTCATCCTTTGGTGTCAGCTTCACTGTGAAGTTCTCCCGGACCCATCTTATCTGTGGTACCTGTGTGGCACTCGACGCATTGGTTGTGAGAGAGCCTCTGTGTGGTGATTGTTCACCATCTGTCTAATCCAGCCTAGACTCTCCTTAAGGACAGGCACTTTGCTTCCTTCCCTGATGAGTCCTCAGTGCCAGCTCCACAGTAGGTTCTCACAGATGTATCTCAAGTGAATAATGAATGCCATTCCTCCTCACCCCCAACCTGCACACTTGTTTGAGCTTGAGGATCACGGGGACTTAAAGGAGAACAAATGCCTGGTACTTTGGGGCAAGCGTGAACTGGGAGGACAGGTTTGTCCTCCTTAGGAATTCTCTTTAGAGACCTGCTGTCTGCAGAGACTTGGCAAGAAGCTTGCTTCAGCAAAACGCACAAAGGAAGAAAAGTTCGGTCCCGTCCGAAAGCTCCCCCTCACCTAGTCTTCTCTTTGTGACCTTGATGTCCAGACCCGGCTTTTCAAGCAGCACCCAGTTCCTGTGGGAATCTGCTGGCTAGCACCTGGGGACTCGGAGGAAGCTCATGAAGGAGGGCGAGAAGAGGCAGGAAATCTTTCAGACCAACAACTGTGGAAGGAGCCTTGGCATTCCTGACGCACCCCCAGTGGATCAGTCATACGTACGTCTGGAAACCTTTGGGAGAGCTGTTCTTCACTCTACTGGTGCAGATTACTACATTGATCTATCGGGTCTAAGATAGCTATATACAATCTTGCTGACTTTCTAGATTTCAAACTTTAAAGGTTACGATTATAAGCACAGTTAAAAATAGCCACTCATTGTCAGAAAGTCAAATTGACTGCATTTTGGGATGATGTAAGCGAGCATGTTTAGGTGTCTAGTGTATACAGTGTGTAAAAAAAAAAAAAGATAAGAAATGTCACCAAAGTCCAGAAATTCTTGCAGGGATGTGAAAAAATAAAAAATCAAGGGAAATTGACTAAAAAGATGACAGATGATTTCTGCCTTTCCTCAAGCTGAAGTTATGAAAGTTTAAAAACTGAGAGCTTGTGACGTGTTGTCATGAATTAGCTTCTCTGTCTGTTTAGTTTCCAGGGTGCTTGGGGACAAGGGAACAATAGCAACTGGCAGCACACATGCCCTGAAGACATCTGGGGATGGAGCAACAAGGCCTTTTCAATGTCTGGCTAACCACACACAGCCTTCACTGTCAATTACCTTCCAAGACACCATGACATGACCGATGGGTCCTCCCTTCAGGCCACACTGCAATGTGCATGGCTTTGGAAGACGAGTAGTTAAGTGGGAGGGCGGGGGGCGGGGGGACAGAAGCAAAGACAAAACCCAACAACCAAGGTAGACCTGGAGATCTTTTTGCAGCTCTTTTCTTGTTTGTTTTTATACATGATTGTTTGCCCCACAGGCATCCAGCTGTTAGTGTGTACAGGAGGAATTGTAGTGAGACTACGTGTTTGATGAAATATAAATGAAAATTATACTTCTGTCTGTCTGGAATCAAGGATTGTTTCTCAAGATCTCCCCAAACACTTAATTTCAAATGAGTCTTCATTTATTACTTCAAGAAAGGCCAAATGCATAATTTATTAGCAGCTTTCAGTCAATATACCCTTATAAGCATGTTTCCCATGAGCCTTTGAGTAAAAATATGTTATGCTAATTCTATTAGGTGGGTACACAAGAGCTATCTAAGATAGTAAACAAGCTTTAAAAGGAGACACATGCGAACAAAGAAATACCTATCAACCTGGTGCCCAGGATCTAATTACCAAAGGAATCACCGGGAGCTGGTAAAATGGGTGGTTTCATCTATGCCAAGACTGTCCCCCACAGCTAGACCTCTTGGGTAGGACAGCCTGCACATATTGGTGACTGACGGGGACGTACCGGGTCTCCAGGGGCACGTTGCTGTTTAGCACCCAGCTGTCCTGGAGCTGAACAGACTCCGGAGTGGTTGCCAGGTCGTTGGGCGCAGGGGCCGGGGCGTGGATCTGACTGCGCCGGTTGGTCAGCGAGTTCCTGTTGAGTGAGTTGGCCGAGGAGTGGTGATGGGACAAGGTGTGATTGTGAGGAGGCGGGAGAGGCGGCCTCAGAGTTGACTGGCTGTGGTGGTTCGGAGGACCTGGAACAAGAAGAAACAGAAACAGCCATCAGGGTTGTGGGTCTCTGCCTCAGATATGCCGGGAACCTGCAGAGCAGAGTTCAGGACTGAAGCCTCTCTGTGGACAAGTGCTGATCAGCAGACCCAGGCAGACGCACCAGGATCCACGGTGTCCCAGAGAGAGGGACAGATGCGTAATTTACTTGCACTTGCCTTCCTCTGTAGCCAATGAATGAGACATCTTGGGAAACTAGGTAGGCAAAACCAGGCAGACAGGAGGGGTGAGTAGATTGATTTGATTCATAATAACGAGGCAAGGAAAGCAAGGTGAAGTTCAAGACTAAGCATTGTTGAAACATGTCTCTATTCCATTTCCGAACACATGCCACACATTCCTTAGACACACTAATTATTTCTGTGGGTAGGGACAGAGTCCTGGTGGTATAATGGGCTATGAGTTGGGCTGCTAATCACAAGGTCAGTTGTTCAAATCTACCCTCTGCTCCTTAGGAGAAAGAGAAGTCTTTCCACTCCTCCTGTCAACAGTTACTGCTTCAGAAATTCATGGGACAGTTTGTTCTGTCCTCTTGGGTCACTATGAATCAGATTCAGCTCCGTGGCAGTGAGTTGAATTGATAGGTAGTAAGCTATGCCACCCTTTAAGTCAGTGGTGGCGGTCAGCGGCCCCTGACTGAGAGGGATCTCACGCATAAGGAGATCCACCCATTGTAACCCATAGGATTGTCATTGGCAGAAATAAATGGCCAGGCTTTCCACCCAAGTTCATCTTAGTTTAGAAGCTCCACTGAAACCCTTTCAGCATCAAAACAACATGCAAGCCTCCAAAGACGAGGGGTGGTGGTTATGTATGGGGTCTCCCCCATGGACAGGGCCGATGCTACCACCAAACCCCACGCTGAAGTCAGAGGAACGGACCTCAAACTTGGTCGGGACCAGGGAGCAAAGTAAAGCGGACCAAAGGTGGGTTGAGGTAAACTGGAGAGGGTGGGAGCGGCCCTCACTTCCTCCACGCACCTGTGGTCTTATGGGGCGGCGGAAAGGCAGTCACAGCACCCCTCTCCCCTGGTTCTCCCAGGAAAGCTGAAAATGTGGAGTTGTATTCAAAACACCCAGCATTTTAAATGTAGACGATGATCTCCCATGAGAATATGCACACGCCTACGTGTGTATACACAGAGGGGTTACATTGCTATGTTTTCAGGTATTCAAATTCCCAGCAAGATGCATTTGGGAGCCCCTGCCCCTTATCAGTAGGGTCCTCCTGTCTCCTCTGAGGGTTGAGCCTTCGGAGCTCAGCTCTTTGTTTAGAGAAGGTCAGTGCGGGTGTGTTCCAGCCATGACCTCTGCTCCACGTCACCTCCTGTTCTCTAACTTGGAAGTCCTCTCGCAAAGGTTAGCAAGGCCCCGCGAACATTGGCCCTGTAAAAACCACCCGCAACAACTCCACACAGGGTTTTCTGAGCAGCCCTTTCAAAGCCTGCGGTGTGAAATACTTTAAGCCTAGTGAAAACGAAAGTAGTTCACTATGCGACACAAGCCTATCATTTGGTTGTAATGGCTGGCGAAACATGACTTTTAATTTGTGTCCTTTGAGAAAGTTTAGTTTTTGAAGCCTCTAGTCGGGGTTGGCAACTCACCAGGTGACTGCCAAGCCTTGTCATTTTGGCCCCTGCCAACTCTGGCAACCCTCAGCCCCCGCTGTCCTCGCTTTAAGATGTTGGTGCGCGTCATTTAAACAACAATTCGACACACATTTTAAGTACTTGTCCCCTCATGTGGTCAGGCTGCATCTCCAAAAGGTGCAATCTACCTTCTAGGGTTCCCAAGCAACCCGCAGAAACAGTCCATGGAAAACGTGACACGCCAAGAAGATGCTAGGTTTGGAGGGCTTGCTGACCATCAAAAGCAAGGAGGAAAAATAGGAAGGAAACGGGTTCCTCAATGTTTGCATCGCTGGGTGGAAATTACCTGGGGGATCTGGTTTTTTTTTTGCTTTTGGCTTGTAGGATGTTTAGAAAGTGACAACTGGTATCAAATCCCAGTGGGAAATTGCACGGCTGTGTTGTGTAGATTTTAAATCGCGTCCTCTAAATGAACCTGTAATTCGTATTCAGCATTATGCATCAGTGACATTTTAAATATATCTTGGGGGGAGTCTCATAGCTCTAGCAGGCTATTATATTTTCTGGCATCGTTGTCTGTCTAGCAATGTGTTATTACACAGTTATTTAGCATTTGTCTGTCTTGGATTCATGGAAAGAGGTGGGGAAGGAGGCGAAATGATGTCATAATGATCCTTCAGAGATGTCATCCAAGCCCCTCATACATGGCTAATTAATTCTCATGCCTTTCTTTCCCCCACGGCTTCCCTCCCTTCCAAGTGGTGTCATTATTTCCCATTAGGCAGGCAATTATGAGACTTGCCTCCGGAAGAGTAGAGGAGTCAGTGCAGAGTGAGGGCCCACGGGCCTACCCTCCCCAGCCCCAAGCCCGAACTTTCCATCTCCCCCACCCACACCTCCGCTCTGCAGACCACACAGTCTCTGCAAGAACAAAGAGGCCATGTGTTGGACTCAATTCCCTAATTACGAGACCAGAACCACCCTGTTTCCTGTCTATGTACTCCAAGCTGAGGTTTGCTTGCCTGCCCCAGCCTGGGTGGCCTTTTTGTGTTCATCTGTGTTATGTGTGGTCAGCATTCCTGCAGTGGCTGCCTCTGTGCTGATGGTGTTCCGAGGGTGGTGTTGAGAAGGGCATGCAAGGGCCAACTGGGAGGCTGTGGCCCAGGTAAGTGGACTGTATGTTTTCTGGTACAGTGGAAGAGAACTCAAGGGTTGTCTCCCCTTTTCTCCAAATGAGAGGTGCTCTGGGCGGCACAAATGGTTTGCATTCACCTGTCAATGAAACTCAAAGAGAACCTATAGGTCAGGTTTTCTGCCCCTCTGAGTTTCTGAAATTGTAACATTTATTGGGAGTAGAAAGTTCTGCCTTTCTTCCATGGAATGGCTGCTGGTTTCGAACTGCTGATGTTGCATGTGTAACAACATCGATGGCAGTGGATTTGGATTTGGGGGATCAATGGAAAGGTGGGTGGTTTGAATCAGGACTTTGAACAGGTTCACAAGGATTCAGCCAACGGAAACATACAAGTTGTATTTCCCCATTCAAAGATAGTAGCCAACACACACGTTCAAAGAGGGCTTGGCTGCCATCTCTGAGTGGGGCACCACAGTTTGTTTCCTACTCAGGTCAGAACTCCACGGCTCAAGAGATTTCATTGCTGTGTCATGTGTACAGTGCCCTGTTTCCACTAGCCATGACTGAGTCACTTTGAGCAGGTCTGACACCTTGGCTTGAACCCACCTAGTGGCACCTTGGCAGAAACGTGCCTGGCAACCTGGGTCTACAAAGATTCCAGCAAAGAAAACCCTGTGCTCCCAGAGAAGTCCTACACTCTGCCACACAGGGTTTTGCCATGAACTGGGGGTCAATCTGATGGCAGCAGACAACAACAGAGCTTCCTAGGGAAGATGACAAAATCAGGGAAGAAGGAGGTGAAAGGATACTTGGATTCTCCTATAAAAAACATGTTATTTCCTTACAAATAAGTCAAGTTATGGGAAATAAGAAAAAAATTTAGCCAGCCACCTCAGTATTGGAAGGTGTTCTTCTCATTTCCTTTGCTCTTTTCCAATGTGACGTAGTGTTATATTTGCTCATTTATCTATCTACCCGACAATCGCATTTTCAAATGACACACAAGAAGTAGAAGGTAAAGACCATACAGGGTGGTCAATACTACCACTTGTATAAATACAGAGGGCAATACAATTCCAGCATCTACAAGGGACATGAAGTCAGATGTTGGAAGATAAACATGAAAAACTGGGTTCACGCTAAGGAACAAGTAACTGGGGATTGGACGACAGTCTCAGATACACGGAGATCACTTGGTATGACATGGTTCACAAAGACAATGTCATACTTCTTACTTTGGTGAGTAGAGACTGGGGTCTTATAAAGCTCACAGAGATCCATCTAAGATGCAGACATTGGTCTCTCCCCATCTGGAGGAAATAAGAGTTATGACAATCTAAACCCTTTACAAGCAACTAGACCATCGGTCTCCACAACCCTGAGACCAGAGCTAGATGGTGCCTGGAAGTGTTTTGAAAATATCACATTAGAAGGTAGATAAAGGGGAACATAACTAAAAATAGTAAAAGAGACCAGGCTTGCTGGTCAGATAGACACTGGTATGACCCCCAGCACTACAACTTTATGTCGTCCTTCAAGTCTGCAATTGAACTCAGCTCTACGTTAGAGTAATCAAATATTTGTGATAAAAATGACAGCATTTACCCAAGGATAGAGGAATGGAAACAGAACATACAAGGAAGAAGTAGGACAAATTTCTTTCTTTTTTTTTTTAAATCGTTTTAAGGGCTCATACAGCCCTTATCACAGTCCATACATACACCAATTGTGTAAAGCACATTTGTACATTCATTGCCCTCATCATTCTCAAAACATATGCTCTCCACCTAAGCCCCTGGCATCAGCTCCTCTTTTTTCC